GTATGGATCACTTGGGTTGTTACCGACATCTGGTGAAAATTTCATGTCATTAGCACCTCTAGTAATATATTTACTGAGACAAATGGTGACGTGTTCAATACTTATTTTACCCGCTGTAAACAGAGGAGAGAGTACTTTTAATACTCAAGTACAATTTATATCAGAATTTTTCTTGTTATAAGTACAGTAAATGCCAGATACTTTAATACTCAAGTTATATTCTTAGAGAGGACTTTAACTTTTACCAAAGTGTTTTAATGGTAAGCTACTTGTACTTTTACTTAAGAATCACGTTGAGGAACTTTACGAAAAACGTTGATGAGCTGTATGTTTTCACCTGATTGTTCTTCATGTTTCTGTGTCCAGGTGATGTTGGCTCCTCTGGTGGACATCTCCCTCAAAGTCTCTCAGCTCCAGGAAAGAACGGGACGCTCCGGCCCCACCGTCATCACATGATTCAGCAACGACGACGCCTCTGCTCTCCTGGAGGAAGGAGGGGGAGGGGGTGAAGCTGCCCCTGTCTTAGCTAGGTTTAGATTAGGTGTAAAAAAAGGGAAGCTCAACGTGCGGGTTAGATACGAGAGACTACACGAGCTGCGTTATTCACTGCCTTCCTTTTGTGATAAATCACAGTGAGCTGTTTAATGTGTCCACGGGGGGGATAACTCTCGACAGACACCTTTTTTAAACCTGCCTGTTTAAAAAGACACTGTCACAGGGTTAAAAGTGCAGAAAGGTTTCAAAAAGTTGATTTCATAACATTAAAATAATGCTCTCGTTTGTGATTTAAGAAGAACTAAAGTGCACTTTTCTGCAAACGTTTAATTCAGGTTGTTAAAGAGAGCGTTTTGGGCAGCCTTACCTCTTTCCCTCCACTTCACCCCCCACCCCCTCCCCCGTGATGTTGTTGGACTTTTCCCATCTCTGTGTTCATCCAACCACCAACATAGCCTCTCCACCTGAGCCGCAGCTGTAATGTTGAGAATTTAATGAAGCAACTATGAATAAAAGTCTTCTGTAAAAGGATCCRTGATGGAGTTCTTTATCGTTTCTGCTTTAGTCAAACCAGCATTCAGAAAACTGAAGTTTCATAAAAGAAACAGGAAGTGAAGTTAGGTTCAAAAATAAACAGATTCAGAACCTTGATTTATTATTAAGTACTGCAAAAACTGTCCACCTAACCAAGTTTTAAAATCTTATATCCAGCCAAAAAGTCTTTTTGATC